AGGAAACCTGTGACTCAGTCACCCTCCTGTCTTTCTGCCTTGGGTGAGAAGCAGCACATGGTGGCGGATAAGGAAGAACCACCAGACCGCCCAGGTTCAAATCCCAGCTCTGCCACTTGCTGCCAGGGGACCGCAAGCCCAGTTCCTTCTCTTCTTCTACCTGGTACCTGAGCTTTGCAGGTCCCTTGCTGAAATGTCAAACCCACCCACTCTGTCCCTAGGATGCGTTCACAACCCTGTCTTTTCCCCCGTTCTCTGAGAGGCCGGATCAGATGTGGAAACAGCTGCACTGCCCCTGAGACCTTGCGGAACTAGAGGCCACTCCACTTTTCTCCCTCACCACGGAGGGCCCTCAGAACACAGGGGTCAGCATGATCTCTGAGCCCTGCCAGGGCTGGGACAGCCACTGACCCAGCTCAGCAGCGGCGGCGGCAGCAGGAGGACCGGCTCGTTTAAGAATATTAGGCTTCCGGGATGCCTGGGTGGCTCAGTTGGTTAAGCCACTGCCTTCAGCTCAGGTCATGATCCTGGAGTTCTGGGATCAAGTCCCACATCAGGCTCCCAGCTCTTTGAGGAGTCTGCTTCTCCCTTCTCATGCTCTCTCCCCCTCTCTCAAATAAATAAATAAAATCTTAAAAAAAAAAAAAGAATATTAGGCTTCCTCCGAGCCTGGGTGGCTGAGTTAAGCGTCTGCCTTCAGCTCAGGTCATGATCCCAGGGTCCTGGGTCCCAGCCCCGCATCAGGCCCTCTGGTCGGCAGGGAGCCTGCTTCCCGCCCCCACCCCCTCTCTGTCTGCCTCTCTGCCTGCCTCTCTGCCTACTTGTGATCTCTGTCAAATAAAGAAATAAAATCCTAAAAAAAAAAAAAAAAAAGAATATTAGGCTTCCCTGCTCTTGGACGTAGTGTAGCCCAGGGGTTAGCAATGTGGGCTCCAGGACTAGGTGGCTTCAGTTCACATGGTGGCTCTTCTAATTAATGACAATTTTCAGCTCTTTTGTCCCTGGGCTTCCTTCTCCAGGGACTGCTGGGGTCGTGACTCTGATTGGGCCCCTGTGAAATTAGAACAACGCCCCAGCCGGCTTACGCCGACCATAAAGTGCCGGCTAGTGTCAGTCAGTCCATCCCAGCGTGTGCCGGCCGAGCCGGGCTGAAGGCGGGCAAGAGCGCAGTCCCCATCTCCGCGGTACTCTCCCGCAGGGTGTCGGGGGCCGGGGTGGGCGTGGGGCGGCCCTGCAGATCCCGCGGCTCGGCAGGCACGCGTCTCCGTGGGGGAGGAAGTTTGTAACCCACGCGCTGGTCGTCCTCGCCCGCCCCACATTCCTGGGATCCCCGAACCCACCCCACCCCCCCGGCCTCTTCCCCACCACGAAGATTCCCAGCCCAGCCCCCAGCGGGACGCGGGCGTGCAGAGCGGGTCCCGGCGCGTGGGCGCATAGGCCGGGCCCCCACCGCCACGCCGCGGCCTCGCGGGCAGGAAGGCGCCGCGCGGTCCCGGAGCGGCCGGGACGGGCGGAGAACCGCGGGCCGAGGCCGCGTGGGCCGCGCGCACTCACCTCCGCGCGATCCGGTAGAGCAGCACGCCGGCCGCGGCGCACGCCGTGACCCCCAGGCCGCCGGCCAGGCCCGCCGTGGGGCAGCGGGCCAGCAGCGCGCTCATTCCCTCCATGGTTCCCCGCGCGGGTAGCGGGCGGCGGACGGCGGGCGACGGGCCACGGGGCTGGGGGCCCAGGGCCGCAGGCGGGACACGGGACGCGGGACGACGGCGCGCGCCTGCTCGCGCCGTGACCTTCGCCGCTTTGTAGCCGGCGCGGGCCCGCCCCCTGACTCGGCGCGCTCCCGCCGCGCAGCCAATCGGGGATCGGGGCGAGCCCGGGGGGCGGGGCGCCGGCGGAAGCGGCGGCACCGGGCCGCGCGCGCCCTCGCGCGGCGGGAGGTGGGAGGCGGCGCGGCGCCGGGTCCCCCGTCCTCCTCCGCGCTCGCCGCGGGCTGCGAAGTCCGGCTGCCTTAGCGCCTCGGGACGCTGAGGGTGAGTAGTCTAGCGCTAGTCCGCTCTGCTCAGCGCTGGCCAAGCCCGGCTCCTGCTCGAACGGCTGTTTTTCTGCAAGTTGCAGCGCTTTTAAGCTACTCCATTCAACAAAAAATTAGTTACTGGAAACATGAACGTCCGTCCAGAGGGGCGAGGTCGAATGAATCTCAGGTCGGCTCTACCTCCGAACTTGGGAAAGCAAGGCGGGGGCTACGGGTGCTGGCCTGGCGGGAGGTGACGGCTCAAATAAAGGGAACGTGCACATTGATTTTGGGAATAACGAAGTTTGAATGAAGACACTGCTAGCACGTGTGTGCTTGCTGAAGTCGAGGACTGGTAACGCTGAGCCCTGGTTCCACAGGGGCGTGGATTCAGGGAAGATTCACTTTGTGCCAGTTTCATTCATGGCTTGAGCTAAAGTACTTTCATAACTAAAAAAAAGAAAACAAAAAACCCAGCTGGTTGTAAATATTCGTATCCGTACACGACACGTGTCTCGGTGTCCACGCTTTTCCAGTGTTTCTGAGGTCAGGACTGGAGTTCTGCCTGTGGCAGACGGCGCCGACGTGGGGTTGTTTGGCAGCAAATGTTCCCGTTGTTTCCGGTTAACAATTCATAGTCCCCGGCCTTCCTAGGAGCTGCAGAGAGGGCAAGGAGCAGGGCACAGCACCTAGGCGCTGGCCAGAGGGGCTGCTATTTCTTCCACGTGGGTCAGAGCCAAGGCCTTGCTTTGGCCAAGCGGGGGGCTCTCACCACAAATGAACAAATAGCAGTGAAACCTCCCTTAGAATGTGTGGCACGGTTCTTTGCGTACCATTTTCTTTCCAAGGAAGATTCAAAGATTGTGATGTCCCACTCACAGGGTGGACAAAGAGCGACCCAACCACCGTGTCCTGGGTGTTAGCAGTACAATCGCACCTTCACCGGTGGTAGTGCCTGTGGGCTCATTACCCTTCAGTGAATGGAACAGTTTGCTGGCTTTGGTCAGACCATTCCACAGGCTCAGATGCCCCCTCTAACTTATGTTCAACTACCCAAGCGCTGCAAACCCACGACCAGCCACTTTACAACTTACCATCTCTCTCAGAGCTCAAGCAAGTCATTAACCCTCTGGTCTCTCTTATTTGTAAAATGTGGATCATGGTAACACCTGCCTCATGAGGTTGTGGCAGAAATAACCGACATGAGAAAATACAGAACATCTTATACAGAGCTTGGCATCTAGTGGTAAGCAATGAGAACTTTTCCAAGTCTTATATATACGGGGACTTAAAAATAATGAAATCCCAATGACTGAGCTTATGCACAAGAGAAACAGTGTGGCTGGGTGATGGACACTGGGGAGGGTATGTGCTATGGTGAGTGCTGTGAACAGTGTAAGACTGACACAGACCTGTACCCCTGAAACAAATTATACATTGTATGTTAATAATAATAAAAAAAAAAATCATGGGACCTCACCATGGACAGCTCAAACAGTGACAATTCCCATTTGAAATATGACAAGCCCCTTTAGAATTTCCTGCTTTTCTTCCTACTTCTGGCACTCCCCTTTCTCATTTCAATGTCCTGGTACAGGAGAAGCAATCAGAGAGCAAAATGATCCTAGGTCAGCATCAAATTTATTTAATTCAAGAATGTAGAAATGAAAATTATTTTCAAATAATTCTCACTCCAAATTCGAGAATATTAAGCAACCTAATTTTTAAACCTTCAGATCTTGAGGAAAAATTCAGGTTTTAATATGAATACTAAAATAGGAAGATGTTGCTAACAGTTATCCTATCAAACAGTTAAACTGAGCTCCTGGAAGAGCAATCTCTTGGCTGCCATGCGGTTTTCAAGCACTGATGCTTGACTAACATGATTTGGAATTCTACACAGCTGTGGACAGTTGAAGCAAATTTTGCCAGTGAGCTCAAGCACACCAACTAAACTTCATGCCTAAAGGTGAACAAAATTAAACTCCATTTTAAATACAATTTGAAAATATCCTACTCTCATCCCCACCAGTGCCTCTGAATCTGACACTACAATGCATCAGTTACTAGAATCCAGTATCTTTCTAGATGTTCAGACTGAAAACTAACCTCAACGGACTCTAAGCAAATTCCAGTGGAAGAGCTAATGGAAAGCCATCTCACTTACCTGCCTTCTGCATTACTGTTGTCCCTTACTAAATTTCTTTTTAAAAGTGGGGAGTGCTGGGGTGTGGCTAAAATTCTGGTCATTTGTCATTCCTAGTTTTTTTTTTTTTTTTTTTTTGAACTAGGGTATTTAAACACACCTCCTGTGAGAACAAAAGTGAACTCTCTGAGAGGTGGGCAGTCAACCCTGCGTCACGTCCCTCTCCGCCAGTGCCAGGGACCCAAGAACAGGGTTAAAGACCTTGGTTCAAACTTGGGATAAAAGATAACTTTAGAAAAACGTTTACAGTTCAAAATATTTAGCATCAGAAAGTTGTACTTTTTAAACTCAGCAGCCTGAAGGCTTAAATTTTTAATATGCACGAGACTTGGAAATGTACAGATAAGAAAAATGGCTAGAAGTCTTTCCTGGTCCATCCAGTGCCACCAAAATGTGACACATCTTACCTGTTCAGCAGTGTAGTGTCAGAGGAGACAACAAGTTGTATTTTGATTTTGCAGGTTTTCTCTGCACTTCTAGGGTCATGTTTCACTAAAGTATTTAGCAGTAAGTTTACAGCACAGTGAGCATAAAAGAGGACACAAACCAAATTTATACTTAAATTAAGTAGCGTGATTTAATTTAGCTGCTGCTTAATCCTGAATCCTCTTAAGTTAAAAAAAAAAACAAAACAAAAGTTATAATTAACTATTAAAGTTAATGAATTTAAACCTTCCAGAAAACATGAATCCAAAAGGAAATGTCCAACGGGTGATATAGGCCACATATTTTATGGCCTTTCCTGTTTTAGTCTCAAACACTCTAAACATCAATGGAAAAAAAAAATTTCTCTAGAGTTTTTCAATTTTATTCTAGAGCACAATTTTCTGGCCCGTTACTGGGTACGGTCTTCTAACAGGTACACAATTAACTCATAGGTAGACAACACAATGGCAGTATTTGGTATCTGCCGGATGAGCTGGGCAAAGAGTCCTCTGTAAAAGGCAAGGTAACCTTCTTCCCGGAAGACCAGCCGAGCGGTCTGGACAAAAGACTTGTACTTGGTGCCTTCCTCCCGGAGCCGTGTCCTTATGACTTCTGCAGAGAGAAACACACACTTTATGCTACAAACCAACCGCATCGCCAAGCAATACAATGAGAGAATCAAAGCACACGGCTCTGTAACCGTCAATGTACACCTCTGGGTATTTGCCACCGCAGCGCGACTTGGAGGGCCGACGTCGCTCAGACACAATAAAAAGCTGCGATCCTTTCAGAACATTTCTTAATTCTGGGAAATGGTCAATTAGGAATATTACATATACAGACAATACTACAAAATAAATTTTAAGGGATTGTAAAAGCTTACTTTGAATGGGACTTCATTTTAAGATTGTTTGTGGTTTTCTATTCCCAATTAAGTGAATGCTGTAATTTCACTGAAGGTGTAATTTGTATTAAGCATGGCAAATCATCAAAAAGATTCTCTTTTTATGTACTTGCCAACTTCTCCTACTAAAACCCCTCCTCCACAGCTCTCTCCAGCTCAAAAGCTGCCTCCTGCGTTTCCAAACGTTTGCACATCTGGCCTCCGTGACGCAGGCGCCCCGCGGCCCGACACCTGTCACTGCTCAACACGCTGCCGTCTCCCCAGCCCACGGGGGGCCGCTCAAACTCTCGTCCCTCAGCCCTGGGCGGCCGTTTATTGCCCCGCACGTGACAGGGGCTCAATTACCTGCTTGGGAGTTGACCGCGTACATCCGTCACAGCTGACAGTGCAGCAGGCTTGTGAAAACAAAACCTGTTTTTCTTGGTACAATAAACTAAGCTATTCTTTTTTAAGTAGGTCAGTGGAACTTTAGGTCTCTGATTCCTTAAAAACAGACTTAGCAAGACTAGCCTCGCTCAGCACTCCGTTCAAAGTGGAAGCTGAGATTTTTTGGGGGGGGGGGGCTGGCTCCCATACCATTTTTTTAAACTGAGGAATTTTGAATAAATCCAGACTTTTGGCTTCCCTGAAAACGCCCGAAGCTCTACAACAGGGGCCCACACTCTGCACAGCACGTACTGGCCCCAAGTAGCTGGAGCTGAGCAGAGGTGAGTGGCCGCCGCTCACATCCCCTGCAGGCAGCAGGAGCCGGTGTCACACGCGCTCCGTCACCTCAGGACCTGCGCGTGTCTGCGTGAGCGGCAGAGGTCGAGACGCAAGGACAATGACACGGACCTCACAGCTGTTTTCCTGTTCTGGAAGAAAAAGCAAAACATACCATGTGGATAAGCGATGCAGGAAGCACATCCCTTAGAAATCGCAGCAGCTGCCATAAGTCCAAAGAAACTTGTGGAATTTTTCTCAGTCCCATTTGTGGAGGCGGCTAGTGGAGCTTCTTTCAGATACTTCTTCAAACTTTCATAAATAGCAAAACAGATGATCGTTTCGGAAATTCCAGCGTAGGAGGCCGTTAATCCCCTGTAGAAGCCACGGATGCCTTCGGTCTGGTAAACATGGCGCGCGCACTGCAGTGTGTTCGTCTGCTTGCAGCCTCTCACTCTGTGGAGATCAACGAAAAGCCGTTACGAGGCGCGCTCAGGAGGAGCCTGGCTCCCGTATCAAGCTGAAGAAACGAGCGCTGAGCATAAAGAGAAATGAGACGGCAGGTGACAGGTGTCTTCCGTGTCCTGTGCTCAGCTGAGCCCGGGGCCACCGGCTGGGACACGGGACAGGCCACAGAACAGAACGTGCATCCGTAGCAGGCGTCGTGGAAACTGATCTGTAGCCTCTGACCTAATTTCGGAAGGAGCCGAACGCAGGAAGACATTCTTCGAGGAGGAAAACGTAACTGCCACACAGCCCGCATCTCTAAAAACAGGACAGACAAGCAGACCGGGATACCCTCCAGACTCGCACGGTGGTGAGGGCAGAAAGCTGCCACGTGCCCGCGCGGAAAGCGGGACGCAGCTGGACGTGGAGTGGAACTACACTCACGGCACAAACACACTTTCCGAAAATGCCGAAGGAAAAGCCTCACCAACGCGCCGACCAGGCAGTGAGCGCAAGGCCGCTTACACTAACTAGCAAGCTTTCTTGACTCTAGTCTCCAGACGGTGTGTTTTGATTCCATTATTTCTAGATTTACGGAATAATAAACATCGAATAAACTACACAGTAACTAATACAAGACTTCAGGCTGGCTGCCCCTGGCTCGTGACGGGAAGGTTCCCGAACTGGCCGATGCAGAGGGAACCCCAGGGCCCGAGAGCACGCCCACTGGTCCCGTCACAGAGCCCTCCTTCGGGGCTGAAGCCCAGCGCGACCCCAGCTCCAACCTGTCCCAACAGGCTCTCCCTTCTTCATGGTGTCTTTCCAAGGCTCCTTCTCCACACCTGAGCCGGACCGGCCTTTCTACTACAGATCTAACCAAGCCACGGCCCGGCTTGAAAGCCTCTGATGGAGAGCTTCTCCGTTTGGGCACTACTGACACTTTCCACCAGATGGTTCTCTGCTGTGGAAGCTGTCCTTGCACTGCAACCTTTGGGATTACCCCGGCCTTCACCCACCAGACGCCAGAAGCATCCCACCTAAGTTGTGACAACTGGAAAAGTCTCCAGACATTGTCAAATGTCCCCTGGGGGGGGGCGGGGAGAGTGTTCCCCATTCTCACCCAAACCACGGCTCTAATGGCTCTCCATAGCCCTCAACCCTCAAATTAGAGCCCGAAGCCAAACACCAAGACCCTCCCAGGGTTTTGAAGGATATACCCCTCCACCCACGCATTTCTGCAGCCTTGGCTTTCTGCGATCCCCCCTCCTCCAGCACGCGCACACACACACAGCACACTCCAACCACGCTTCCCTGCCGTCACGGCCCCAGAAACGGATGCTGCTTGTGTCTCGATTTTCCACATACTCTGTTCTCGGCCTGAAGCCCGTGCAGTGCACAGCCCCCAGCTCCCATTATTTTTCAGACAGTAGGGTGGACATCTCTGCCACAGGAGGCCCTCTTGTACCCGCCCTGCCTGGATGGCATCAGGGACCCTAGGGGGTCCTTAGCAGTTCTGGCCCCTATTTCATCAGCCTACAGTTCTCTTTATTTTCTGTGAAGCTGTGAGCTTCTGGAAGGCAGGGCCAATGGCATATTTCCTGCTGTTTCCCCAGTGACTAGCACACAGCAAGCATGCGACAAATACGTGTTGTTTCAAGACTGGGTAACAGAGCCCCCCAAACAAAACTTTAAAATGTCCTGAGCATCTGGGTGCCTGGGTGGCTCGGTTGGTTAAGCGTCTGACTCTTGATTTGGGCTCAGGTCATGATCTCTTAGCAGGGAGTCCGCTTGAGGATTCTCTCTCTCTCCCTCTGCCCCTCCCCCCACTCACACACTTTTTCTCTAAAATAAAGAAAGAGGGGCGCCTGGGTGGCTCAGTGGGTTAAAGCCTCTGCCTTCGGCTTGGGTCATGATCCCAGGGCCCTGGGATCGAGCCCCACATCGGGCTCTCTGCTCAGCGGGGAGCCTGCCCGCCCCCCGCCTGCCTGCCTACTTGTGATCTGTCTGTAAAATAAATAAAAGTAAAACCTTTAAAAAAAAAATAAAATAAATAAAGAAATAAAATAAAGAAAGAAAGCTTAAAAAAAAAAAAAGTAAAAAATACTATGTCCTGAGCATGGACCCTTATGAGGTAGATTTAAAAGAGTGCCTGTGTGGGCTCTTCGCTGACTTGCGCGCGTACCTGCCGCTAAGGAGGAATGATTACCAGGACTGGAATGGGGAGTGATTACCAAAGGTTTCCAGGAGAGGATGCTGGTCAGAAGCCTGAAGGACAAGCAGGTGTTCTTGAGCGACAAGAGGGGGAGAGGGATTCCTGGTGAGGGACAGCACACTCAAGGAAATGGAAGCCTAAGGGCACAGGACAGTTTTAGAAAACTGCAAAGGACCTTGAATGTTAATTAAGTCCAGGCGTTAGGATTTGACTGTCAGAGTAAGCAAGATTCATCGAAGCATTATGCGCTAGCGATCTGTCCAAAATTATGAGATCTGATGGATTCTAGAAGGTTCTTCCACACAGAACGGATTTGGGGGAAACATGGAATCTGACACCAAGAGAAAAAACAAAGGCAGACCCATAGCTACACGTCCGGAGGTCCGGAGGGGAGTTCTTGCCACTTCTCCCTCTCCTTTACAGGTTGCTAGATTTCGGCTGGACTAGCTGAAAGCCTCCAGTGCCCACCCGCATTTCCAGGCCACACCATTACACAAGGGTTCTTAGGACTCGATGACAGTGTCCCTTATCACCGTCACGTCTTTGATATTATGGGGGTTATTGGGCCACTGCTTGATCTTGTTATTTACTGTGTTAAACAAGCCTATGACTATACTGCATTTTAAAACAACACTGATAACCATACTTCAACAACTGGTTTCCATTGCTTTCAAAAATATTACTGTGAAAAGCCACGGCACAGGCTTCCCCAGACTGCCAAAGGCATCCACAGCATAAAAACGTTCAGAACCAAGGGCCTGAGTTTCAGGGCAGAAATCCAGTACATCTGAGGACCTTGGAGATTAAAATGACCTTTTTCCATTCGACCCTCCCTGGCATCTTCCCACTTAAAAGAGAGGCCATCTGGAGGAGCCCACAGAGCTCCAGTTGCTGGTGGGGTCGGCCAAGACCAGAGACCCACCAACTATCCGAGAGAAGTCAGGAGCAGTCAGGAGGTGGGCAAACTTCCAGCCTCCCCCTGGGTGTTAACTTCTGTTGGCCCTCATCTCCCCACAGTGGCTGGCAGCACGCACCTCAAAACAAAAAGTGTTTCTACATATACCTTATATTCAGGAGAAAAAAAGGATGGGGATGCTTAAGGGCTCTGTACACCTCATTCCACAACTGGAGCTGGGAGGAAGCAGCAAATCTCCATGAATATTAAGGAAGGAACAATTAACAACTTACTTCCGTTCTAGCTGCATCCGGGTTTTAACCATCCATATAGGATTCATTAAGGTATTTGTGACAAAAGCTGGAAGAAGAAAAAAAAAAAAAGAAACAGAAAATGTCACTACTGAACACAGTCCAGGCTTATTAAAGCTATCTATTTCATATGATAAACTTTGAGATCAGGATTTAAACGGCTTCACAGTAAAAATGGAGAGTAGGAAGCAGTTACAGCTCCAGACTGCAGACAGAAGGTGCAGTCCCCTAAAATGTAACAGCTATTGATATGCTGGACCTAAAAGATAGATCTCCATTTTCTAGAGCCCAGTCTAGTCTTTCTAACCTGTAGATGGTGCTGTTGGTATTTCTGTAAATGCAATTCCTATGATAAATATGAAAACTATTCTAAAACTCAATTTGTAAGCTTCAGGTCCAGAAAAAATTTGTTTTAAAAAGTTAGTGATCTAATCCAAAAGGTTGCCTTATATCAAACTTAAAACAGAAGCCGCTAAATCTCCGAATTTACCGGAACTTGAACATAGGCATCTTAGTAGCTCACTAATCATACCAGGAAATGGGAAGTTTTAAAGACGGAGCTGCTCACAGGAACCATTCTTCAAGTTTTCCTCATCTTAATGTTGCTCATTGTTCCAGACCAACCAGAAAGAGCGGTACCGTGGCATCAGCCTGACACACAGTGAGCTCTGAGCCTCATCCCCTCCGCAGTCCTAAGCAGATTAACTGGGAACCCAGAGAGTGGCTTAGGGACTCCCTCCAGGCCTGCTTTATTTGCCAATGTTTCCTCGAGGTTAATTTTGCAAAAGGCACAAAACCAATGAATGGCTTAGAGCTTACGGCTCACTCGCTACGCCCTCCTCAGAGGGATTTCCTCCCTCAGAGCTCTGTGTTTGGCAGAAACTCCTTTCTTGTGTGAAGCAGCTTTGTATATAGATGCCATCTTCTACCTGGGGTCTAGTAATTGTGACCTGTAACTACTCAGATAGGATAAGAGAACTTTTATCTGGAGTCCCAGAGGCAGACAAAACCTTACAGGCTGGCAGGAGGCAGCAAAGTTCCGAGTGCCTGTTTAAGTTTTCCAGAATACTCTTCTATTTACACGAGACATAAAATGGTACCTAGACAGACAGAGCCTTCTCTCAGCAACCTATAAGTCCATGGTTATTTCCCAAGTATTTCTGGGGGAACAAATCCTGTTATGAATTTTCTATAGTAAGTGGGGTGACTCCTGTACTACCTGATCTGGCACCAGCCCCCCTAAGATCTCCTCCACAGCCCCGAGCCCTCGTCACAGAACCCAGCTGGGGATACAAATGCCAGCTGCCTGCAGGGGACGCTGGACTCCATGGAGAGTCACACACAAAAAGCTCCATCTTTAAAATAACTTAATGAAACAGAAAGATATGAAAACGCATTAATATTGCTTAAAGGAAACATAACACTCACCAGCAGCATGCATGAGCACAGGCAAATTTTGAGGGAGAATAAAAGTTTTAATTGTCAAAGAAAATGGACCCGAGTTATAAACTATTCACAAACATTCATGTTTTTGTTAGTTCTGACATAAAGCGTCAGAAAAATGCTTTCAGATGCAGAAGAAGCAGAGAGCTAATTTCTAATTCCTGGAAGAAGCTGTTTGGCACAACACCTGCTTTAGGAGAGCGAGAAACTCCTCTCCACTTGCTGGGGTCACATACCTGCAGAGCCGGCCGAGAGAATGTGCACGAGGCTGCTGTTAGGCACAAAGATGCCACTGAACTGCTCTTTGGCTTTGGAGTAACACGCGAAGTACACGGCCCTGTTTGAAGAGAGAGAGAGTGCTACAGACAGCGGCATGGCCCTATACACGTCCCTCCGCAACCTCTGAAAAATTGAGGAAACTATGAGAAAGGAGGTTAACATGTAACCAAAAGCTTGACTTTGTCTGTAAGACCAAAAGCTGCTGCAGGCCCCTGCAGAAAGCTCCTGCCTGTCCCTCAGAACGTGTTCAGTGACGGGAGATGCGGCCACGGTAACTGAGGAGGAGGAGACTTGGGTAATAAAATCCATATATCCGTACATTCTTCTTCGTTCCGGGTGTCAATTCTTTAAGCACCAAAATCTATACTGAAACTTTTAAAATTTGTAATACTTCTAAAATACACCACACCTGCCTTCTACCACAATGACTTATCATATATAATTTGGCCTTTAAAAAATTTTTTTTTGATGACTCAGGATCATGAAGGGAACAACCATCACACGCACATTTTCATATCAAGCTTCCATCAGTGAATACGCCTCGGTCTCCCCCACCCCTGCAGCTCCTGTAGGTGGAGTCTAGGCACCCGCCCCACCCACGCCCTGGCTCTGGTCTGGTCTTTGTCTGCTTTCCTTCTTTTGACTTCTTTCTTACTGGGGCTGGGGAGTAGGTGCTGGTTCATACTTTCCCTGCTCCTTCACCAGCAATGCCAGGGGAAATGCCACTTTACTTTGGCCGGCCAATACATCAATCACAGAATGTATTTTTCAACTTAGGCTCTGGACTACTTGTCATTACTGCCTTATGTAACAGTATTGTTTTCTCCGGGTCCCAACTGTTCTAAATGGGTGTGGTGGCCAGGAAGCTACATCAGATTCACTGGTGTCACCAAATGAGTACTGTCCACAAGGAGATACAACTCGGTTTTATTTACTATACATATGCAGCACGTCCGCCATCTATTATAATGTGGACCCCATATAATCTCACAGCCTAGTGCTTTTATTTTTAAATAGAGGAAACACATATGCTACAAAATTTTAAAGGAACAAAAGGATTTACTAAGAATCCGAATTTTTACAACATCCTCATGTGATTTGTGTATAAACTAGAGCACAAATCTGCAAGAATTCCAGGAAGCTTTTAGTCTTCACCTTATAGAAAACAACATTTTCACTTTTGTTACCAAGATTAATTCTCTTTAAAGTCTATCAGAGTATTACATAAAGTAATGTCAGTATCCTACCCCTGCCACCTAGCTCCCCTCCCGGGACACAAATTTTGAGAAGCAGCTTCTTATCTACTTTTCAGAGATATGCTACACACACACACTCTCACCTGTTCACTTTTATCAAACAGACTTTAAAGAGATACAGAAATAAGGATGTTTTAAATAAAGTAAAGCTCAGAAGCCTTTAAAATTGCTTCAGATCAGTGCTACCGAGTGCATATGAACCACCTGCGGATCTTGCTGGAATGCGGGTTCTGATGTAGGTCTGGGGTACGGTCCAAGAGAGTGCAATTCTAACAAGCTCCAGGCGATGCCAATACTGCTGGCCACTGCTGCTATTTGAAACAGCAGGTGACTGTTCAGAAAAAGATTCCAGGAGATGCGAGTAGACGAATTTTCACTGAAGAATAAAATAACTAGACGCTCTCTCTCACACACACACACCAAAAGACGCAGTTTTCACTATACCGTATGTCAAATGCATCCACGCAAATGCCACAGAGAAAAGAAACTGGCCATCTAGACGTACTGCACTTCAGTACAAAAGGAGTATTATATATTCCATGCAGCGAGCCAGCTGAATGTTTAATGCTTACCTTGATGGCGCAACTCCAACCAAATTTGGACCCAAGCCTCTAAAAAGTGACTTTGGTCCCTCCTTCTCCAAGATTGACCTGAATAATAAGAGAAGATCTTTAAATTCCTTAGGCAGGGCCTATGCAAAACAGCAAGGCATCAGCCTTCACATCAGCTCTGTAAATACAGAACAGAATGTTTACAAGACCCCAGACTCTTATCTGATTATATTATATTACAGTACAGCATCAGAAGGCTGAAGCATACTGCTTTCATTACAGTGAAAAAGCACGCTTCTAAAGCACCAGTTTGGGGCGCTTGGTGGCTCAGTGGGTTGGGCCTCTGCCTTCGGCTCAGGTCATGATCTCAGGGTCCTGGGATCGAGCTCCACATCAGGCTCTCTGCTCTGCAGGGAGTCTGCTTCCCCCCACCACCCTGCCTGCCTCTCTGCCTACTTGTGATCTCTGTCAAATAAATGAATAAAATCTTTAAAAAAAGAAAAAAGCACCAGTTTGACCTGTTTGCAAGAAGCCTTTTCCCTGGTTCACAAAGGACCTAGATGTTCGGGGTCTGCACTACATGCTAAAATCTCAGTGAGGCAGGACGAGCATGTGGCAAAAGCAGCTGATCCAGGGAATCACGTCTTCATGGTAACAAAATTCACTGAGAAACAGGTTCTGAGATGTATTTGGATCATATTTCTTTTGGATTTACTCCTTATTTCTAATAGTCCTATCTTCCAGATCTTTACTTAGTGTAGAAGGGCCCCAATCAGGGATCCACAGAATAGAAAGACCAAATGATTTTCAAGGGCTGGATGAATGTTTTTTAAAGCCATAACACAGTATCTCAAGTTCAAAGAGAAGACTGCTTCTTTTTAATTTCTAAAAATCATGGTAACAGAGACGCCTGCGTGGCTCAGTTAAGTGTCTCCCTTCAGCTCAGATAGTGATCCCAGGGTCCTGGGATCGAGTCCCAGGTAACATACACATACAAATTTACCATTTTAAAGTGCACAGTTACCGTGTATGTATGTACCGTGTATGTTACCATGATTGTTTTTGATTGATTTTGATTGTTTTTTGATTTTTTTATTGTTACCATGATTGTTTTCTAAGAGATTTTCTTTGTTTAAAAAACAATCATGGTAACATACACATACAAATTTACCATTTTAAAGTACACAGTTCAGTGACATTAAGTAGTTCCACAATGTTGTGCCACCATCACCATTCATCTCCTAAACTTCTTCATCTCCTTCAATTGCAATCATACCCATTACCCTCCCCACTCCCCCAACCCTTGGCAACCACCATTCTGCTTTCTGTCTCTATGAATTAGACTGCTTTAGAGACCTCAGAGGAGTGGAATTATTCAGTATTTGTCCTTTTGTGGCTGGTTTATTTTACTCAGTGTAGTGTCATTAACGTTCATATATGTTGCAGAATATGCCAGAATTTCCTTCTTTAAGGCTGAGTAATACCCCATTGTACATGGGCCACATGCTGTTTGTCCATTTACCTGTTGGTAGATACCCGAGTTGCTTCCACTCTTGGCTACTGTGATTAATGCTGCTGTGAACATGAGTGTCCAAGAATCTGTTCAGGTCCTCAGTTTAAATTCTTAGGGGTACATGTCCAGAAGGGGAACTGCTGGATCATGCAGTAATTTTTATGTATAATTTTTTTGAGAATCGGCCATGCTATCTATCACAGCAGCTGTACCATTTTACATTCCCACCGACAATGGACAAGGGTTCCATTTTTTCCACACCCCTGCCAATGTGCTTTAAAAAAAAGTGTTAATATGTTTTTTCATTGAAGGTGATTGGGGGCAGGGAGATGCGTGGGTGGCTCAGTCAGTTAAACATCTGCCTTTAGCTCAGGTCATGATCCCAGCATCTGGGATTGAGCCCCGCATCAGGCTCCCCACTCATCAGAGAATCTGCTTCGCCCTCTCCCCCCGCCTGCTCCCTCTTCCGGAGTGAGTGAGCGAGTGTGTGTGTGCGCACGCGTGCGTGCACGCACGCACGCAGAGGTGCTTACTCTCTGTCAAATAAATAAATAAAATCTTCAAAAAAAAAAAAAAAAAAAGGGTGGGGCATCTGGGTGGCTCAGTGCATTGGGCCTCTCTGCCTTTGGCTCGTGTCATGATCCCAGGGTCCTGGGATGGAGCCCCGAATCTGGCTCTGCTCCATGGGTTAAAGCCTCTGCCTTTGGCTCAGGTCGTGATCCCAGGGTCCTGGGATTGAGCCCTGCTTTGGGCTTTCTTGTGATTTCTCTCTGTCAAATAAATAAAATCTTTTTTTTTTTTAAGATTTTTATTTATTTATTTGACAGACAGAGATGACAAGTAGGCAGAGAGGCAGGCAGAGAGAGAGCGGGAAGCAGGCTCCGCGCCAAGCAGAGAGCCCGACCTGAGCCAAAGGCAGAGGCTTTAACCCACTGAGCCACCCAGGTGCCCCAGTTCATTACTTTTTAAAAGAATAGCTTTATTGTGTTGTTATTGACATACCATAAAATTTACCCTTTTAAAGTGCACAATTTAAAATTTTAAAGTGCAGTGAGTCTTAGTATAGTCGCAGAATTATGTAACCACAACCACTATCTAGTCCTAGAACATTTTCAGCACCCCAAGGAGACATGTACCCATCCATAGTCATTCCCAGTTCCCCCTCCCCAACCCTGGCAACTGCTGAACCACTCCATCTCCCCGTGGTTAGGAATGTTCTTCTCCTTGACGCTGTTGTAAATGGAATCAGTTTTTATTTTTGTATTCAGATTGTTCATTGCTGCTGTGTAGAAACACAGTCGATGTTTGTGTATCAATCTTGTTCACTGCAACCTGCTGAACGTGCTTCTTCGTTACAGTAATTGTTCAGTGCGTTCCTTAGTATTTCTGTGTATGAGAGTGTGTTGTCCGAGTAAAGAGGGTTTTGCTGGGGCGCCTGGGTGGCTCAGTCATTTCAGCCTCCCACTCTTGATTTCAGTTCCTGTCTTGATCTCAGGGTCATGAGTTCAAATACCTTTTATTTCTTTTCTCTTATCTAATTGCTAGCCTGCTGTTTTTGAGCATAGCTCTTACAGGTACAAATATTCTTTCATTTTCAGGCAATTCAGATATTTTATAAACATCCACAAATTTGAAGAAGAGAAGCTAAGATTCACATTTTTTAGTTTGTACAGTCAGGGACTCTAGACCATGAAAAATTACACTGACTTGAAAAAAGGAAAGAACAGGAAAGAAAACTATGAATGGATAAAAGCTGAACATTATCCAGCATGCCAGGGACCAAAACATCACCTTAACCTTGTCTGCACCAAAAATTTCAGCTTTGTTTCTAGAAACTTTTCCTCTATGGGAAAAGTGGAAAATGTTTTATTTTACCTTCAGTGTCATAATGAAGGTAAATATTGTATAAATAAATTCTTCTGACAACAATACAATTATTAGTGAGCTAGATAATAGAATACTGTCAGATTGGATGGGCTAATTACCAGGTGCAGAAAAATCTGCAGTAAGAGAAGGAAATGAAATTAGAGGGGACCTCAGTGTAATGTAAATTCCCTTGGCTACCATGAAAATGAGCCACTGAAAAGAATAAATTAAACCAACTTGAAGAGTCATTACGTTGGAGCGGGAAAATACCTCTAAAGAATGTTCTACACAGTCCTTCCTTAGTCACCTTTTTATTTTTTTTAAGATTTTATTTATTTAGGGTCACCTGGGTGGCTCAGTGGGTTAAAGCCTCTACCTTCGGCTCAGGCCCTGATCCCAGGGTCCTGGGATCGAGCCCCATATCGGGCTCTCTGCTCAGCGGGGAGCCTGCTTCCCTTCCTCTCTCTGCCTGCCTCTCTGCCTACTTGTGATCTCTGTCAAATAAATAAATAAAATCTTAAAAAAAAGAAGTAACATAAAAAGTAATGAACTGCACCCTAGTTCCACCTGAACTGTTATTACAAAATATTAGGGAGACAATGGTCTTCTTTCTCTTTTTATTTATTTATTTATTTATTTATTTATTTTTTAAAGATTTTATTTATTTGACAGAGAGAGAGATCACAAGTAGGCAGGGAGGCAGGCAGAGAGAGAGAGGGGAGGAAGCAGGCTCCCTGCGGAGCAGAGCGCCCGACGCAGGGCTCAATCCCAGGACCCTGGGATCAGGACCCGAGCCGAAGGCAGAGGCTTCAACCCACTGAGCCACCCAGGCGCCCTTCTCTTTCTCTTTTTTAAAAAAAGATTTTATTTATTTATTTGGCAGAGAGAAAGCAAGAGAGGGAACATAATAGGGAGAGTGGGAGAGGGAGAAGCAGCCTTTGTGCTGAGCAGGGAGGCCAACGCAGGGCTCAATCCCAGGGCTCAATCCCAGGACCCTGGGATCATGAGCCTAAGGCAGACGCTTAATGACAGCCACCCTGGCGCCCTCTCTCTCTCTCTGTTTTTTAAACAATGGTCTTATTTTCTAATCATACAGTGTTTTCCCTACTGGCATTTATCAATCCAGGCCCTTTCCAGTGATCCCATGACGCACTGTTGTTTGGGTTGCCCAGCCTGAACTCTCCGGCCCCCCTCTGAGCATCACATGAAGGGCCTCTGTCTGAGATATCACACAATTAGAGAACACATCTACTATAAGTAGAGTGTACCTTTTTCTTTTTTTTTTTTCTGTCATGGCATCTGGGGAATGTAAAAGCAAGGCATTTAAAATGAGACCTAGCTACGCAATGTAACATTACTTGGCAATAAAAAGGAAGTACTGATAAACACAAAAACAAGGATGACCTTCAAGAAACATTATACGAGGGGCGCCTGGGTGGCTCAGTGGGTTGAAGCCTCTGCCTTCAGCTGGGGTTATGATTTCAGTGGCCTGGGATCGAGCCCCAAGTCGGGCTCTCTGCTCGGCGGGGAGCCTGCTTCCTCCTCTCTCTCTCTCTGCCTGCTTCTCTGCCCACTTGAGATCTCTGTCAAATAAATAAAATCTTTAAAAAAAAAAAAAAAGAAAGAAACATTACACGAAAGAAGCCAGACACAAGAGGCCCTATATTGTTGTTTCATGTTATTTCTTTTTTTCCTTTTTAAAGATTTTATTTATTTATTT